TCATTTTGTGTATTAAACAGCACTTCCGTTGTGCGCGCCGGCGTACTTTAGTCCCGTCAGGTTGTTACTGGACGAGCGGGCGCCTTGAGGCAAGTTTCCCACTTCAAACACTTCGTGGATGGCTTTTCGGAAACAGTGAAAGTTGTACTCTATCAGACCTGCCAAGAGAACACACGTCATTTAAAGCTGAATTTTACTTAATAAGAAATGTTACAAGCATAGCATCCAAAAACAGTGTTCAAATCGCTCAGAGCAAATGGGAAAAATACATATTAGCTTTGTCTTGCACACTTAGAAAAGGAAAACAATAATAGGGAAATTGTTTGAGATTGTAATATTGACTTCAATATGTGCCTTGCTGTTGTAATAGGTGCACATTTGAGCTATTTAAACTGTAGTTAAACTAGAAAAATGCATTATATTTTCCATATGTATACAACATTTGTATACTTTATAATCTTTAGCTGTAAATAATTGTAGTGTAGTAATAAGTATAATATTCTAAAGTATAAGTACGAGTACCTCAAATGTCTACTTTAGTACGTACTTGAGTAAATCGACTCCACCAGTGAAAAATAAACAGAATAACATTTCAGATGAAACATATAACATATTAATAAAAAATAAATACATTTTTGATCTTAATCTTACTGCCCACATTCAGTCTTCCTTTTTTAAAGCTAAATATTCAATACTCATTTCAAAACACCTGGCCCATTTAAAGAAGTTGACTATTTATGGTATGAAAAAGGGTGCCTTAATGTGTGCAGAAAGTTTTTAATCAGCTTAGAATTGATGATAAAACAGCCGGATGAAACCTCGTTTTAGCTTTAGACACCTCTGAGTTGGCAGCTTCACACCTCATTCCCTCTTTCCTGTATAATCAAACCGCTGTCGACTAGTGCCAATGTAACTGACCTTTCCTCTCGAAGCTCTCCTCCCTGAGGATGCAGACGAGAGCGAGGAACTTTGTGACCTCTTTCAAATAAAGCACGGTGGAGTTGTTCAGCCTGATGATAGCCGAGGACTCCTTGTCGTAGGCGCAGCCGCTACCATCCTGCATCAGCCTGCCAACAGGGGAAGGAAGGCACCTTTAGACTTTCAAACCACAGGAAACTATCTGTGCCAACACTTAAAACAAATATAAATCTCCTCACCCGTAAATGCAGGAGACATCAATGACAACATCGATCATATCGCAGCAGAGTTCGTAGGACTGCATGTCCACCGGGGAGCTGTCTGTGGCGATGTAAATCTTACTAACAACGTCAAACAGGAAGGCTTTCTCGATCCCAGAATGCTGTAAATAGGAAGGATGTAAATAAAGACGGTACAAATACAGACGTAAACGGGTTTTTTCTGTAATTCAGTGCATGAACATACTGAGATGAAAATGTTCAAAAGGTTCTCCAGTGTTGGCAACTGAGGAAGCAGCTTCTGGACGACTTTACTGAAGGCCTCGAATATGGAGTGGTCGTAGATGCTGGTTAGGTAGAGGCTGAGGAGGGAAACAAGAGAGAGGTTAGCCAAACAAGTCTCTACAACTATGAAGGTTTCTCATTTCTCTAGTTTCCCCTCCTCGACTCCTCGGTCCTCCGGTAGTGACCCGGAAATGGATTTCAGCGAGCCATGTTGAAGGACATCTCATTTCTCTAAATGCACATCGAGGACCGAGCGTCGAGGAGGCTCTCTGGAGGAGCTCTAACCGAGGATACACTGATGGGTCCTCCACGGCTCCTCCGCGGATGTATTTCCGGCAACAGTGATGTTTCAAAGAGTCGTGACGCACGGCCGGACTTATCTCAGCCAATGACAGCTCTGCATGCATCCCCTGGATATTATTTTAGAAACTGCTTTCATCACAACGCGATGTTTACAGAGAGAACAGCTGTGAGGTCCGTGCAGAAAGCAGAGCAGTGTGTATATATCACTCAGTATAACAGGCCTACATTACTCTCTGTATTTGTATGCTTTAGTTTAGTAGATATCTACAAACAAAGAGTCGATATTTTTCTAAGACCATTTAGTGCTTCACATAATAAAATACACAACAGCTGTAGCCTGATATATAGCCTATTATATGCTTTAGGAGCTGTAGGTGTGTGTGGTACAGGTGTGTGTGCGGTACAGGTGCACGTGTGTGTGTGTGTGTGCGTAGATGCGGCAGACAGACAGGTCTCAGTTGGTTTGGTGTCCTCTGCTTACTTTTAATACTTGTAAATAAAACTTTTGGCCCGTAATTTCCATTCCTCATTGTAGCGACCAGAGAGGGGGGGGGGGGGGGGGATATATCCAGTCTCTGATTGTGTTACGTTATTATGAGAGTGCTCTCATACTTGTTTGATTCTGAAATTGTATATATTTATATAAATATATGTGTGTGTGTGTCCGCATCTGTAGCCTGTTATTGTCTCATTATACCGCACTGTGAATGAATTAAAGTAAATATATAAGTGGTCATGGACACATCTGTCCATCAGACAGAGGGCTGCTGTGCCTCCTGTCATCATTAATGGACGTCTCTTTAAAATGACCGCTCAGAGGAGAGGAGTTCTCATTTCTCTAACGGTTACCGCCTGCTGCTTTCCCTCCTCTCTCCTCGGTTCCCCTCCTCTCTCCTCGGTTCACATCTCCTGTGGGCGGGACTAAGACTTGAGGATAGCACTCGAGGATAGGAGTCGAGGATAGGAGTCGAGGAGGGGAATTAGTGAAATGAGAAACCTTCTATAACACTAAAGATTTCTGCTCACTGTGAGGACATAAGAACAAATCAGTTCAACGGCTCCACAGACAGAATAGAATAGAAACATGACACTTTACAAATGTCTGACATTACCAACAGGTGTCCCACAAAAAGGTAAAAGACACCGCTGCAGTCCAAGCTTTATTTGTTAGATCTATGCGTTTTGGACTGAATTCAAGCTTCTATTAAGGTTTTTCAAATGAAGCTTAAAGAAATAGGGGAAATTGATTTTTGCAATTGATTTTTTAGTTGTAAAATGCAATGTATGGTGCTAATACATTTCTGCTACAGTTGCAACCCTTAGAGTGTGGCAAGCAGGAAGCACAGTTTCGACTGCAGTAAATATGTTATTTTGTTTCAAGACCTAAGGCCACCCACTGTGAATTGTAACAGGACATTTTACATGTTGTGAATTTGAAAAGGATCTTATCTATCTTTTTTCCAATACATTTGGACTTTTGGACAACACAAAGCTCTGGGGTATGTGGAAATGTTTGGATGTCATCATTATGAATGAAGCTTGGAATTTTTCGGTACAGTCCTATCTGCACTGACCAAATGGTTAAACCAATTGAGTGAAAAGGGACAGGCTTATAAGAAGCCAAACAAACTTAAGCTTATAACGTTTTTAAAATGAACAGTTTGCAAAAGTAGACTATTGCTGCATGCATAACTGAGAAGTCACTGGATAACTATCTGTGGGTTTGTCAAGATGAGCGACATCTTTCACATTAGACACATTTTCTAAGCAGAAGTAAAAAACATTGATAATTGAAACTTTAAGCACTTAAATGCAGATAGTGCCAAATATTGTAAAGAATCAACTAGAACTAATCATTTCTAGCTAAATCTAGAGCTAACTCTTGCAGCTAATCTTGCTCACCTGAGGTGCAGTTTCTCCAGGTTAGCGTCTGCCAGCTCATCGTTGGTCCTCTGATGAATGTCCCTTTGTGTTTCTATTTTGTGGTCGTCTGACAGACCGTCAACTTTATGGATGAACACCTCAAAGTTGATGTCTGGATTCACTTTGTAGGCTCTGGATACGGTGAGATGCAACCGCTCGAGAGCTTCGACGTAGTCATCCTGACGAGAAATAAAAAGAGACGTGTTACTTCATGTCACACAGGAAGCCTTTAGAAACCTACAAACTTCTTCTCTTTTATCCCACCTGAGCATCAATGACAAATATCAAAGCGCCGGTTCCCTTGAAGATCATCTCACTGTCAAACGTGGGGTCCAAGAAGTCCACCTGGCCAGGGAAGTCCCAGATCTGGAAGTTGACAAAGGAGCTGCTGGAGATGTCGTCCTTGTAGATTTTGTTGGTGCTCTCCAGGAACAGCGTCTCGTTGGGGGACATCTTGTGGAAAACAACCTGGTCAGAGGAGAAGAGGATTAAGGTCAATCTCTTGACTGATCCACAGCCTTCATTCTTTTACGCCTATGTTTTTCTGCTTTCATTTATTGCCCTTGATATTAAGTTTATGTGATTGGTTTGGAACTACATGCTACTTCTGTTTATCTGTAAATAAACACCTATTCCATGTCTGTCCATCCTGGTTCTATCAAATTGTTTTTCCCTGAGTTTCTGACTTTTTTGCTTTCTTGGGGATTTATTGCAGGATATAATGTGTATTATTTCTAGCCAGGGGGCTCTAATAAACTGGAAGCTTGTTTAACCTACCGCAATGCATCATACATTCTTAACCTATGTTTTGTATTTGAAAGCCTAATTTGTAGTATTTAGCTCATATAACTCTCAAATAGTTGTAGTGGAAGTATCAGTCTAGCAGTAAGCAGATTTACTTACTGTTGCACTACAACTACTTCTGGGGGCACTAACATTAATGAAATGTGTAGAATGTGTATATTTTAAATGCATATGTGCCCTACCTTCTGAATTGATGACTTCCCGCTGCGCCTCAGTCCCATCAGCAGGATCCTGGGTTTGTCAGCTGATGTGGAGCAGTTCTCCTCCAGATCCTGCTCCTCTGCCCCGTACCCAAAACTTTTGGGAAACGACCCCACAACATCGTAACTGCCCGCTAACGTGGGGTCCTCGTACTGAATAGACATCCTGTCCTTTTCTCTCCGGCCTACTCTTTGTTCTTTTAGATGTACTGTCCTGTACTGACTAATAAATCTGGACAGGAATGTTGTTGATTTTCACGACGAACTAGCATGGCAAGCTAATTAGCTAGCAGCTGTCACTGTCGTGTTTATATAAAAACGCCAAGTGAGGCGGACACGTAACCACACGGGGTTTAAAATAAAAGTTACTAAGAGGTTAAATAACCATCATATCGGTAGAAATGTGGGTAACGCAGGTTACAAAACAGACAGGATTAGTAACAAGAAAAAGTCTAGTCACAAGTTAGACGCCTCTTGAAGCTGATTGGCTGTTCTCCCTAAACATAGTCATGTGACAAACAAAAGCAGGAAGAACACACAAGCGGTGAGTAATGTTTTTTAGACATTTAGGGTGTTTTAAAACCTTATATATTGCTTTTAAACTTAAAGCTCCATGCTTTTAACGTTATGTTGACTTTCAAAATTCTACATATTTAAAATTCTGCAATTGTATGTTTAAAATTGTAATTATTTATTGGTTTATTTGATGTTAACCTCTTTGATTAGTAAGTTAGCTTGTCCATGCTAATTTCCGCAATGAGTCATTTAAATTGCCTTTATGTTTTAAAAGTACTTTATAAGGTCTAATTCCCTGTCTTAGCTTTGTGGCTTTTGCTGATAGATCTGAAACAGTCCATGAGCAGTTATAATGAAGTGAACGCATTGAAGATAATAGGAAATGCTGCTGTCAGCTTAGTTTCTGACTGTCACATGACTGCTACAGAGCATTTCAGCAACATTTACTTATCCCAAATTGGGAGTAATCCTTAAAAGGGAGTAATTCAGGAATAATTGTAGGTTTACCTAATGTGTGAAAACAAGGAAGTATTTCTAAGTGTTGTTACATGTACAGAACAATGAACAATAAGCCATTCTTATTAAAAGAAGATGTAATATATAATAGCTCCTGTTGTCTTGCGATGTTGTGTTTTGATAAAGTAGTACAACATTAAGAAAGAGAAATATGTATTACATATTTCACAACATAAAAATGCAAAATTCAACCCCTCATGTGTTTGTTTAAAGGTCCAACATGAGAGCAGCCCTCCTGTGTGTCCTCCTGGCGGCTCCAGTGCTGCTGGTTGCAGGAAGCCCAGTTTATAAATCCGACAATGGGACCGTACCACTGGTGATCTGGCATGGGATGGGTGAGTGACGGTGCTGCTGCCCATTCTTACTCTGAAATAATACAAAATGACATTAAGGAGCTGTCTTATCAACCTTCCTGTGGTATAATTTGATCTGTTTATTTATCCCTTTAACTTCCAGTTTCCCACTTTACTTCTGTAACGTATCTATAAGTTTAACAAAAATCTTATAAAACTCAAGTATCACTCATTATTTCATATTTCATATCAGCTTGTTCCAGCTCTTTAATGAAGCTACAAGGTGTTAAAACTAAGGGACATATTATACAAATACAAATCTCATATCATCTCTACTAAAGATGAGTCTGGCTTCACAGCATGACTTTATAATTATGGACCCTATAGCAGGAAGTGAGGTTATGTTAAATGCAATGACATTTTATACACTATACAATGAACATATTTAAGCATCTCCTTTGTGTTACAATTCTAAGACTTTACAAGAGACTAAATAAAGCTCCTGATCTCGCTTTGAAGACTTCACAACAGAAAGGGAAAGGTACTGCAGGTGAGTGCTGTGATAAGTGAAAGCAAAGAAAACCCAACCACCACTTCTTTATAGACTTTTAAATTCAAACTGACTGACCTGACCTATGATGTGAGCGAGGTGTGTCGTGTAGGCTCAAAGTTAAACTTAGAACTTGCATACTGTGGAAGTGAAAAACAAAACACTTCTCCTTCAACAAGAATGGCCGGTACCTCTGAGGTCAAGTTCTACTCACAATTATGATTCCACTTAAGCTCCTCCATGTTTTAACAGCAGAACATTGTTCTGTGTGTTTCTGAAAAACGGCTTGTGTTTATGCGCTGCTTCCTCATGAGCAATACACTCTGTATTATTATTATTGTGAGTCAATGTGAGCTAAATATCTTGAATTCTAATAAAGGAACTGTTTCTGTGTCCACCAGGCGACAGCTGTTGTAACCCGCTCAGCATGGGGGCCATGAAGAAGATGATCGAGGAGGAAATCTCTGGCATCTACGTGCTCTCACTGATGATTGGGAAGAATGTCGTTCAGGTACTTGAACACTTCCCCAGCCACAACCAACCCCCTTACAAAGGAACTTATAATATTAAATGAAATATTATTGAATATCTCTCTGTTCTGTCAATTCGTTGTTTTTTTTGGAGCTAATTTGACATGTTTTATAAATATTATATTGTTTTTTGTGTGTTTCTCAAGCTATAAAATAGATATAGTTTTGTAACTCCAAACTTATAAATTCATAATGTATTTTTATATCAAATAGAAAAAACTTCCTTTATTCCTCTTGTACAAACAAATACATCTGAACATATAATAATAATTTAAAAATGTACTACTACAAATACTAATACAAAAATTAACTTTAAAAAAGCGCTTACAAGGTGTTTTACAAAATACAACGCTTTACAACACAAGTATAGAGAACAAAAGAACATTTCAAATACAATCACACAGAGAAAATGCAATAAAAACATATGTTGTGTTTAACCATCACATGTGAATCGAACAATCATAGTGTGATGAACACATCCACCTGACGTGTGAGGATTCCCACCCTGTGATATTTGCAATGCCAGTGGCACAGGTTACATCAGGAAAGGAGCTATTTTACAACTTCACGGTGTCATTTTTCAGCGTTAATATTCATAGAAAACCTGCATGACTCTGCTTTGATCTGTCGTGGCACCGTGAAGTCATCTCTCCGCGTTTCTCCTCAGGACGGTGCTCCTTTTCTTCGTCTTAATCTGCCTGTCATGCTTTGAACTTTTCATATTCCCCCTCCTGCAGGACACAGAAAATGGGTTTTTCCTGGATGTGAATGAGCAGGTGTCCATGGCGTGCAGTCAGCTGACCCAGGACCCCCAGCTGAAGGGAGGGTACAACGCCATGGGCTTCTCCCAGGGGGCGCAGTTTCTGTACGTAACTGCTGTCCTGCACACTTGATGGTTTTTACATTTAGCTAATTCACTGTTTGTGTGTGAAGTTTCCTTCTTGTCTGCGGAAGGAATTATTGTAAGAATAGCAACATCATCGAGTGAGAATCAGGAAGCTTGGTTTTGATACTTCCTGGTTCCTCTTTTTCTAGGAGAGCCGTGGCTCAGCGCTGTCCCTCTCCACCAATGAAAACCCTGATCTCTGTCGGGGGCCAGCACCAAGGTAACATCATTACAACAAAAAAAACATTAAAGCAGAGCTGCTGCTGCAAACCATTTCTGTTTCTTTTTGTGTATACTGATCACACAGAGTTAATGAATGGATACATCTATATAACGTGTTGGAGTTGCATGTAATAATAAAATCCCTAAAGTATTGCTATTATGCTTTTAGTATATAACACAATCTCTATTATACTTAAAAATCAACAATAAATGGGTACACTTACTAGTGTCATCTTTGTTTTCAAAGTCAGATACATTTTCTTCGTCTGCCAAAGAGCTTCATTGTTGTCTCAAAACAGTGAGTCACACAGACATGTTCCTTCATTACCATGATCGTGGGCAGTGTAGTTTATTTTTAATACTGCAAACATTGTCCTGCTGCTGTAAATAGTCAACAAATGCATATACATTAAAACAACTTCTCCTACGTGAGTTACATTTGCAAAACCATTGGAATCAAATACAAATTGGTCAAGTGGTGTAGCAGTGATTATTTAATCCCAATAATACTCAAGTTTCAAAGTTCATTCTTGATATTGAAAATAACAGTTCTCAACACAAAGGTCACTTTATTAGCTTTACTGAGCTTTGGACAAAAGCACATGATCTTACTCAATGTATGTTATCAGTGCTGCTCTGACCAAATACATTTTGTCAGTCATGTCTTTGTGAGCACTTGAAAGACTTCTCCATGTCAGATCCTCTAGTGTTAAAGGTCACCTATTATGCAAAATCCACTTTTCCCCCCTCTGTGTAAAGAGATTCTGAAAGTTTCAGGAAAAAAGATTCTCTCTCTTTTTGTCCTGATCCATTTATATAAAAGCCTGTCTGAAAATGAGCTGATTTGATTTTGGCCACTTTATGATGTCATAATGATTTGTTGGCTTGTGTAACCATTAGCCAATCACCAACCAAGGTAGTCATTGATCATTGTGGAGAGCAGGCATACGTTTTGTTTTGTATTATAGCAGCTATCGGATGGAATCAATACATGGGCTGCACAGCCTGCACAGGTTGTCATGACTCATATCCGACTATCACAAGTGTAATCACAATGAAAAATGTGCCGGATTATGCCACAATAGGATAGCAACAAGTCGTCAAGATAGTCAGTTTAGCTTTGGTTGCTATGCTAACATCACCCATTTTATACCAGAGAAACTTTCATAACAGCGTTGTGATGCCAAACAGCGGGCAGCACTGCAGCGGTCGGTAAATGCCGCTGAAACACATTCATAAACAATGAACCACGGCACTCTGGAGAAAAGTACAAGGGTTGAGAAGTCGTTATTTAATTGAATCTGGCTTCGTATGATTAAAAGCAACACGATCATCGACCCGACGCCGTTGGGGAGAAAATCAGCGGCGTAAGCGGTGACGTCATGACGCAGCAGAGGCAGCAACAGTCGGGCTCTGGGCGGTGTGAACAAAACGTGGGCTGAAAATAAAAACCGGTTCCGAATCAGAAACGCTCTAGCACGGAGCTAGAACGGGAATCGCGTTGGTGTGAAAGGAGCATCAGAGGGGCATGGGGAGTGGCTCCTTATTTTCATCTAAAGTGACAGACAGAAAATCAGCACTTTTGAAACAGGGCTGAAACAGAGGGGTTTATGGGATGCTGCAATGCATGATCTGTTTGGTATTTCAAGACAAACACTTCAGAGACATGTTTTGTATATATCTGAGACCTATAATATATTGATGAAAAATAGTATAATAGGAGACCTTTAATACTATCTAGTCACAAATTGTCTTGTTGTGTTTGCGCCCCTCAGGAGTGTACGGGCTGCCCCGGTGTCCCGGAGAGAGCTCCCATATCTGTGACATGATCCGCAAAGCTCTGAACAGCGGAGCTTACAGCGACTTGGTTCAGAAACAGTGAGTTTCCTCCCTCTCTGAAGGATTGTCTATCTCTCACTGATGAGTTCAGCAGCAGTGTTGATGTTGTTTGTCTGTCTGTCACACTATCACTGACCGGATGTGTTTGTGATTATCAGCCTGGTGCAGGCCCAGTACTGGCACGACCCGCTGAACGACGACCTGTACAAGAAGCACAGCCTCTTCCTGGCCGACATCAACCAGGAGAGGGTCAGTATGGAGGATGTATGAAGACAGCTTCAGTCTGCAGCCGCAGCACCTCAGACAAACTGAAGTCTGAGGAACAAATGCAAATATAACATAGGCGCATTCACACTGCGGTACTTTTCCCACAAAGGTTCATGTGAACTTAGTTCATGTGAACTCTTTAGTTCGCATGAACTAAGTACAGATCGCGTTCACACTGGAAAAAGTCCCTGGGGGAGGATTAGGCAAATGAAGCCGCTGACGTCACTTGTTCTTCTTCTGCTTTGGGCTTACTGGCAGGCCGCAAACCACTTCACGGCGTATACTGCCACCCGGAGTCCCCGGCCGGAAGTCCCCGGAGTTAGGGACTGGCTTCAGAAGCCTTCCGAGTAAATCGCCAGAACGCCGACACCTCCTCATCTCCACCGCTCCCATGTTTTATTTTGTGTTGCTATAAGTTAGTCTCTCTGCGTTTCTGCGCTGGGCTAATGCTAATGCTAATGCGAGGATAATAAAATTGCGGCTTCACAAAACTTTTTGGGAGTTTTGCGGGGCGTGGTTTGCAATCCTTCCAGCCAATCAGAAATATAGCTCTTTTCTCACAAGAGAGCCGCGGGTAAAAAGGTTCTCATGAACTAATTTTAGTACCGGCTCTTTTTGGTGTGAACGCGATAAAAGAGTTCACATGAACTAAGTTCACATGAACCTTTGTGGGAAAAGTACCGCAGTGTGAAAGCGCCTATTCATGCAAAAATACAGTACAATGAGTTCAGGCAGTGGGAGGGCAGCATGCAAGCATTGGCTACTGTGGGAAAGTAAAATGTTAAGTAATAGTTTTTTTTAAAAGAAAGTAGTTTGATAAGATACATGGAACTACAGCTCCTCTTACTGAGGCTTTTACCTGCTGAATCTGGCAGACTTCATTGACGTATTAAGACTGAGATGTGGTAAGAGCACCAGTTAAGCAAGTAAGAAAAATATTTAATATTATTTCCCAATAAGACACCCTTTAGAAACAGTTATAACTCATATTTATTTAATGGTTGATAATTATTAATACATTTAAAAAAGAAACTGTAGATATGTCATACAAAATTGATATTAAGTCAGAGTATAGTGTTTTTATAGTATTTCAAAAATATTTAATCAAAGTCTCACAAAAAGGTCTTGCAAAAGTCAAATTGACTATAAAAGAAACCATAGTTTCCCTTAAAATACAAAAAGTAATTGTATTGCATGCAATTGATTTCAAATGAAGTCCTCCTATAGTGTGTCTGAATGATGTACACACTGTTTGTAGAAGCTGCTGTTGCTGATTGAGATATGTATGTATTCATAGTATGAATCAAACTGACCATCTTTCTCAGTATGTTTCTAATGTCACACGTCCTTCTGCTCTGAAGGCAGTGAATGAGACGTATAAGAAGAACCTCCAGCTGCTGGAGAAGTTCGTCATGGTGAAGTTCCTGCAGGACACCGTGGTGGACCCTGTCGATACAGAGGTAACAAACACACTCTATATATGTATGTTACACTAAATATAATAAAGCAGCATCACTAAACCTCTGATTCTCGCTGTAGTGGTTTGGCTTCCTGAAGACTGGACAGGCCAAAGAGACTGAAACTCTACAGGAGAGCCTTCTCTACAAGGAGGTAAGTCTGTTTATGATAGCATGATACTTGTTCCCCTCTCTTCAATCTTTAATGATATTTGAACTAGATGAAACTAATTTTATCAGCATAGAGTCTCAGTCTTAGCAGGGTTAGGGTTAGTCTACAACGATTTTATACAAGTATAGTTGGTCTGTCATGGATAGCACCTTGTAAAAACAGTTGCAATCCCTAAACTTGTACATGTAATACTAAACCACCCGACATTTGAATTGGTCTTTTAACCTTTTTAAAACGATTCTCATATTTCTGATTATTGACTTAGCCTAGTCGGTTGTACATTTCATCCCAACTCTTTTTGCACGGTTAAAAAGGTGTTACAAACAGAGCTCAAGGAAAAACGTTTAGTCTTCTCTTTTCTGAAGTACTTTTACTCGGTTTAAGACGAACATTGTCCTAAGGTCAAGGAAAGATCATTTATAAAGACTTGCGGGGGAATAAAGGGAAGGGTCTAAAAGAATCATACGGCACTGAGGATTAAGGCAGATATTATTAAAACTTGTCTTGCTTGATCTTGCTGTATGGGATCGCATTATTTCCTTTCTTTTTTCTTGCCTATATATGTAATAAATCATTCCTGAGCATTTAGAGGACTCAAATAGCTCCCATCATGGCTTCCACTTCCTGGTTATTTACCTCAACTAGGACCCTTCCTTGACAAAATAATCATGATAAATGCAGCCATGGTACCCGACAGCGAGGACTGCCTTTAGTTCACTTGCTGAAAGTGAATCATGTCTGTCTCCATGCAGGATCGTCTGGGTCTGGCTGCCATGGACAAAGCTGGAAAGCTGGATTTTCTTGCGACCAAGGGAGACCACCTGCAGTTCTCCAGAGAGTGGTTCACCGCAAACCTGGTGCCTTATCTACAGTAAAACCCTTCCAGTCTGTCATCTCAGAGACATAATAGCTGACGTAAACTATTCTATTTTAAGAGCAATATATTGCAAGTTAAGAGTAAAAGCTTACCGACTAAGCAGGGATTCAGAACTCTCAATCCATTCCTATTGCACTGATTTTGTCGCATGTTGGTTTTTTTTATGTTAATTTTAGAAATTGTTCACATTTCCACTGTTATTTCCACTGTGAGCTGTTATGGTCATGTTTTGTTTCCTAAATGTAGTGAGACTTTTTATTGTATTAGTTGTAGGAGCCTAATGTACATCATCTAACAGCCTCTGTACAGATTGTGTTTAATCCAATAAAGACAAAGCACATTAGTTATTGCAACATTTTTTTAATGATATCTCCAGTACTAATGAGCAGAATTGAGATTTTTGGACCCAGAAAAGAAAGAGGTAAATAAAGAGAAAATATAAAAGAAAATTCAGCAAAGAGCTTCAAGAGCTGAACGCGAGCGAGTGGAGAGACGTCGATGGTCAGGCTTATTTAAGACTTTTTGATAATGATCAATATCTTTACATATAATTTCAGATGCAGATATTTCCAATCTAGAGACTAAAGTGAAGCATTTAACAATTACAATGTCTATCTCTTCCACTTAGCATCTCTTTATCACAAACTTTTTCTTACATGCCTCATTTATATGGAATGTTTTCTTTGTTCATATTCAGGAATGTCCTATGTTGGTTAAGGGAAAGCACATGGAATGATAGTTTTCCTGCTATTTTACTTATTACAACATCACCTAAATGAGAGTTTCACATTGTTTTACCCCTATTTGTGCTCTGAGTGTTTTTACATTATCCACTATGAATGTTAGTATTATTATAGTCAACATCAGCGGAGGTGATATGGATGCCATTATCCTCTCAGTTTGACAAGTGCTTCACCGGTGAATTGCATATAATGGAGCAGATCAAGGCTAAAAAATAACCAGCAGCCCCTGAAGCATCCTGCTAGTGGAGCCTGATTGTTGCAGAGTAATAGAGTAATAATATCTCTGTTCCCATGTTGGCTATTCTACATGTTACATTTAGCTTAGCATTATCCAGATAGATACAGAATATCATACAGAGCATCGCAGCTATTGGCAAAACTCATGAATGTGTTTGAAAAGTGCTCCAATTTGAACCACAAGCCGCTCCCTGCTGATTGGCTGGAGGATTTTGCGCCAGATAAAAGTGAGCATTCCTCTCATTGGCTGTTGGAAGGGACAGCTTAAGCTGTGATTGGCTGATAATGGAAAGAAGGGAGGGAGATATAACACACGCAACAAGGTCCAAATCTCAGTCTACAATGTGAGAGTTAGCTGGTGGGGTGGTCGATCAGTCAAGAAGGCATTTGCAAAAAAAGGGGGTGGGGATGGTGCCGTGAAGGGGTCGTGGTATCACATGCTGCCCCCATCTATCCAGCGATCTCTGTTGATGTGGTAACGAGCTTCTTGCCATCCCAGACGGTCTTGAACTGCTCAGGAACAGGGAGCTCCGTCTAGTGGAGAGAGAAAAGTCATGGTGAAATATTTCCTTTTTTTAAAAAGCCCTTTTTTATGCCCATGCAGAAATAATGAAGCAGGCAAGACTTCTTATTTGTTAAAAGACACAGCGTTTCCATTGGTTGGCACTTTCTGACTTTCCTACTCTGCCAGGGGCTCTTTTACTCATTGGTTCCTACACAGAATTATAGGCTTATTTCCTAAAATATCTGAACATTGAGTTTGACCAAAATGTTTCTCAATCAGGAGGAAATTATACATCATGTGTCGTGGACTATTTTCAGCTGTGGATGAACACACCAATACACATTTGCCGCTAGTTAGTATTCACGGCTGCAGGAAGGTAGTGTGTGTTTGTGGGATTCATTCAAAGTAAACTACAGTCTTATTCAAATGAATGAACGAAGATGTCTGACAGTGCAGCAGCTCTTTGATGAGTTTTTTGGCAAACATCGTGCTCTATGCCTTCTTTAAGTGGGATTGGTTTAGATTTACTAACATGAACAAAAGAAATTGAGAATATTTCTAGACTTATCTTTTAAACATTATTTTGTATTATTTCCATCCTATGGATACTTACAAACTCTCCCTCTTTGTTGGGTACCAGGATGTTCATCTCGGAGCTCTTGGCGCTGACAATCTCACAGGCCAGAGAGTCCTGGCTCAGGTAGACATGGCAACCGTCCGTCTTGTTGATGGAGATAGTGGGGATCTTACCCATGACCTGGATGCGTAAAAAAGGCAACAAAAAACATTAGCATGTTGATGAAGCCATTTCGTCCTCAGTATCTGATGGGACATTTGCACTGCACCTCCGTCAAAAACTGAGCGGTGTGTAACACAAGAAGTAAAAACAAAATTGTAATAACACTTTGTCTTTTTAAAAACACACCTGGACCTTGACGTCCTTGCAGTTGATGATCTCTACGATGCCCACCACATCATCGAACACCAGGCCCAGCTTCTTACAGTTGTCTGATGGAGACAAACAAATATTTAGAGAGAATATCAAAGACTATATATTTATAAGTTTGGTAAATAAGTAAGACCCTGTCTACCCATCTTCTCTAGCGCATATATTTCAGAAGGTTCTGATGAGTGAGTTTCAGTATCTCTAAACATCAGACACGCAGTTTTGATCTCACCTATTGTGATGGAGTTAATCTTGCCCTTGATCTGCAGGGTGCTCTTGTTACACTTGTAAGCATAAACTACTTGTTTGAGCTCTGTGTCGCTGATCACCAGGTCCTGCACTCCCTCCTGGTTCTCCTGCAGAGGGCAAGACAAAGAACAAGAGAATTAACAAAACATAGAGCTAAAGAGTGGAGGAAACAATATTAAAAAGGCAAGAGTTAAATAAGTATTTTATAAAAAGTATATAATAATGGCTCATTCTGGTAGCATAATAGCCTGCTGCATAAACAAGTCTTTTCTTGTCAATCATCAGAACACTATATTGATCCTGCAGGAAATTGGATTTGAATTAATAAAATAATAGCTAAAAGAATTCAAAGAAATGTCCACATTGTACTGCAATAAATAACATTTATATATCAAAATATGTAGTAGTGTATAAGTATTTAAAAACAGTCACTCTGGCTAACTTTTTTGGGTCCTCACTAAAGTAAACTATGTCAAGCAAAAATGTGTCACTGAGGCTGATTTCTTATGTTCTAGGTACTATTTGTTTGAGAGTAAACAAACTACTTACCACTTTCCACTTCTTCCCGTCCAGCTCGAGCACAGGGGGCAGAGTGCGGGTGGGGGTCATAACAGGTTTGGCTGAGGTGAAGGGTTTGGGTCCGGCACGCACTGGAGCGTTGCCCCTCAGGGTGGGGTTCTTGTGGGTCTTCTGGTCTTCGCTCACATGCTTCAGGCCGGTGGTGACGTCCCCTCCCTTGTTGAGGGAGGCGAACAGAGCGTTGCGGGTGTCAGCACCACCATCGCCTCCCCCGCCACCACCGGAGCTGCTGCAGTCCATGGGGGGAGGAGGGGGTCCAGGGGGAGGAGGGGGCGCACATCCACCAGCAGGAGCCCTGGGGGCAGCTGCAGAGGCCGAGGCAACGGGACCCTGAGGTGGACAGGAAGTCAGAAATACTGTACCTGAAGACATGCGATGTCACATCATATGATTCAGCTAAGTTATGCTAAGCTATGTTTAAAGGGGCCCCATTATGTTTGTGTATTTTGTACCTCTACAGCAGTGTTTCTCAAACTTTTTCATACCAAGGACCACTTAACCAATAAAAAACACTCGCGGACCACCTAACTCCACAAATATCCAAAATCACATCGTTTTTCTAGAACAGATTACAAATCGCCTGAAAATGGTACAAACAAGTGCCAACATGTGTGACGAAGGTGTTGCGCTGGGCTATATCATGCAGTTGAAAGTGAAACTTAAGCTCGCTCCATTGCGGAGATATTTCTGCAAAACTCAAATGTATTTATTTATTTAAAATGTGAAATTGTACCAATACACTCACGGACCACACTTTGAGAAGCACTGCTCTACAGTGACATGTTTACCTCTAATGTTCAAAAAGCCCTTTATTTTTCCTCATACTGCCTGTCTTTTCACTCTGTCTGAAACCAGAGCCCAGTCTGCTCTGATTGGTTAGCTAGCTGACTCTGTTGTGATTGGTCATCAACATTAAAGCATGTCCCAGTAGAGGCTCAATACAAATATCAACCTGAAAATAAGCTTAATAGGGCCCCTTTAAATGCATAGTAATAGAAATGAAGTAATGTATGGATGTTTTTAAGAGAATTATATATCTGGCAGGCTAAATTGCTAATGATTACTCTCGCCCTATACTGTTAGTGACAGCAAGTCGCTTGATTGAAATGGTCTTTTTTATCATTTGATTCTAGAGAGGATTCTTAAGTGTTACTCTGAAGACTCACGCTCTTGCTCCAGGTCAGCCCGGTGGTGTGGTGCTGTTTGATGTAGTTCTGCAGCTCAGTCCAGATGGAGAGGTAGGCCTTCACCCAGTCCACGTGTACCTTGTCCCTGTGAAGAAGAGACGGAAACAGAAGTTAAAGTCTGGCCATTTTAGGTTTTATTTTGTCCCCTCTCTAGCAATGTACTGATACTTTTCACTGGTCTCTGCTTCTTACAGGTAACATGACTCAATTGGAAAAATGAATGTTTTTAGAAACAAAACGAGAGATGAACTACTTAAAAAAATACAGCAGTTTTGTTCTTACCAATATTAACCACCAAGTTCAGATGTCATACTGTAAAAACTGACCATTTGAATATATCAACTCTGCAGAGACATGTTTGTAAAGTTGTTTCTGTGCATCTGATTTGACTCATTAAATTCTAACCTGACTGTCACTCTGCTCGTAAACACAAACGCTTTTCAGGTCTAAATACAGGAAGTCTAGTAGCAGCATGAGTCAGCGTCTGAAGTGGAAACGCTGACTTTAAATACAGAGCCTGGAGGAAGGAAAGACGGACGACAGATGTGTTGAGCAAACTGCTTGGCTGATAACCTTTTAGTTATCAGATGTTACAACATTTCAAACACGTATCATGCCATTTAAAAAAACCTAACAAGTACTACATTGCAAAAGTAAGCCCCTGACGTTCTTACAATACTTCCTGAGTGAGTGCTTGGACAGCAGAATATAGAGAGGCTTCACTTACTTCTCCTTGTAGTCCTTGAGCACACGGTTGGTGTAGAACATGGCGGCGTCCTGCATCTCTTTAACAAAGGGGCCGGGCTTAGGAGCCTGTGACACAGAGAGCAAGAAGGTCAAACAAAAGCATCACTGTCTTAAAAGAGCTTGAATTAAACATTTATGGTAGTATGCTCG